TTTTTTTTATATTATACCCAATTATAGAAACGCAGTAATAAAAACTAGCACATGACAGAAATATTAACAGTTGATCAGAAGAACTATTAATAGTCAGCTTTTTATTTTATTTTATTTTATTTTCTAGAAACGGCTAATTGCAATACACTCAGGCTAAATGGGTTCAATATCCAATTACGATAGATAGTTTAACTACTAGTAATATGATGATGAGTTTATCATTTTCCTTTATTATTTTTAATTAAATTTATAAAAAAAATATCGTTTGATCAATTGTTATGTTTTAATTCTGTAAAATGTTATGCTTGTTTTTTTCTTTTAAGGTTTTGAATGTTAAGGAAAACAAAGTGCTTTTTGTTTTAATTAAAGTAAATTATGATTTAATTTAATATTTCGTTTTCTTGCTCTAAAATTTATTTTTGAATAAAATATATATTTAAAGAATTGACGTGTATCATTAATTCCTTTGAAGTAATTGAATATCACTAACTACTATTTCTTATAATTACAACAAATAAATTATCGAATTATATTGTTTATTTTTATCAATTTATAACAAAACTTATTACATAACAGATTGAAATAAACAGACGTAAAAAATATGTCAGAAATCATAATTACGAAAAAAAGAACTAAAACAAAATATTTAGAATTGTTTCGAAAGTTTAATCTTTCTATGCCTAGATACCTAAATTCGTGCAATCATATTTTGATTTTGTAATTTTTATTGAAATGAGTGAAAAAACTCAGCTTAGCACTTTAAACCAAAAAAGAGAATTATTCATCAATGCTATAAACATAATCGCACAGAAATTAATAAAATGTGATAGAGACAATAAATTTTAAACTTATTGTGTTAACTATTCACAACTATGAATAAGTATGCTACGTATAGTTCGTTCACCAGGAGTTGACACTTGGCTCCACCTACTCGGACGCAGAGTTCATTTCAGCGCGGGGGAGTAAGAGAAAAAAACATTTCCCCGCTTGAAGTCGAGATAACCTCTAATGCGCGCAAAGCCTCCACACGGTTTTTTATAGGTAGTCCAATCAGACCACTATAAAGGCAAACCAGTTTACGAAAGAGCCTTTCAATAGAAAATCTAGTAAAACTAAAAAAGTGGCAGCAAATACATGTCTGAAAATTTGTTTAATTTTTGAATATGATTAGTTTGTCTTATTTACTTGTCTATCACAACAGATTCAATTCTCAAATACATATGACAAATTCCTCTCAGTCATTTTTAAAATAGAATTTGGTTTCATGCTCTCAAACTGTTCACTTTTTAAATAGTCTGATAAACTACTGATAAGAAGCCGCGTGGAGGCTTTCTGATGTAGAAGGTGATGGCCAAACACAAACAGAGAATTCTTTTTCAGTCACTTACTTCGCTTTATCATCAGCTATTATACCTTTCGTTATTCTAGCTAATTTATATTTAAAAACTTTTTCCCAGCAAAATATCTAAAAAAGAACAAACTATTCAATAAAAAGAGAGAAATATCAGCAAGTTTATGAAATAAAATGCACATGTTCAAAATATGCACTAGAAGAGTGCGAAATAAATATTTTTGTCATACGATCGCCAAATAGCAGCCTTGATGTTCACATCCTTCTCCCCAAAATAGCGAAATAGTATCATCCGATACCACGTAATGAAGGCGGAGTCAAGTGCCAACACCTGGTGAACGAACTATAGTAATGGTTACAGTTCATTGTTATTAAGAAAAATAATTATAAAAAAATAATTTTTGAATAAGACATAAATTTTTTTAAACTTATCTTGATTATGAACTACTTTAACCCTTTGAAGCAGAATTTTTATTAAACATACTTTTCATACTTTTTTCATTAGTTTGTTTTAATGTTGGTCAAAATAAATGTTAACTATTATATTTGACATTTTAATAATTTATGGTTATAAAACACGGTGTCTTTTTTCTGCATTAAAAGTAAAATCATCCAAAAACGGCTCGCATGCAAACATTAAATTTTCAAATTTGCATTAGATCTAAGAAACAGCTATTTATCAATGAAATTTCTTTCATTTATGAAACAAATTACTAATAAATTCTTAAATATGAATGGAAATAAAATTTTAAAACTACCTTTTTTCAGATTTCATAGTTTAGTATAAATATAATTTCGGTAATCTAACAGATTTTTTTATTAGAAATCAGAGTATTTTTCATAATTAAAAAATGCGAAAACATATTTTTGCTTTCGATTAAAGCATTAGAAAAAACTATATTAAAGGGACATCGGTGTCCTATCATCGTTAAAACGGTTAAAAGTAGTATTACGAGAGAAATTTAAGTAGTACTTATAAAAAGACATAAATAATAACGAATTTTTCTTTGTCATATTATTATTATTTTATTTAAATATTATTCTTGAATAATTATAGACATAATGAATAAAATTATCTGAATAAAAAAAACATTTAAATTTTACTGATCATTAATTATCATCTATGATTGATTATGATTCAACCATAGTTCATTAATTACTTTAAAGGTAGTATTTCGAGAAAAATTGACTGCTCCGATTATAAAATCAGCAGAGAAAAATTCAAGTGGTGTTTATAAAAATATACAAATGATGAAATATTTGTGCATGTGTGTCATAAAAGTGATATTTTATTTAAACTTTTCATACACATTTTTAATAGTGTTTAACCAAAACTCGAAATAAAACCTATAAAACTTATATTTTTTTAAATACTTAAGTTTATTTGATTGTAAATTTTAACAACTAAAGCATTCTAACTTTTTGGCAATAAATATTTCGAGGCGAGCTTACTGCTGGGCAACTTGTTTTATTTTGTCAAAAAGAAGCTTTTCAAACATCCCCAAAAAGTTGCTTTAAACATGGTTTAAATATATTTCTTTTCTGATGAAAAGGCGTCTTAGCGCGTGTTTACCACTTGTCAAAACAGTTCATCACCTGTTGCAGTAAAACTTAAAAAGTAACTTTGCTCTTCTTTTACCCTTCATCTCTGCTCTATATAGTTAAATACAACCGAGAAAATGGTAAGGCATTAACGTCATTCTAGAATAAAAGCACATATCGTTGAAATGGAATGAATGTAATGCTAAATTATATCAATTTCTAAATTTTAAACGTTTCAAAGTGACTGCCTTTATAAAAATCTTAAATAAGAGAGATTTAATTGTAAGAAATTTCAGATCAAATTGAGGTAAAATCTATTTTTAAATGAACATGTTACGAAAGAAAAAATCTGAGACACCATAATTTTTACTGTAATAATCACTCTAATTGAAAAAATGTTAATGTATAAATAACAATATAATATTTTACAGTAGAAATGAATTTTGCAGTATAATGGATTTTAAGGATGATGCAACGAAAGTATATACCGTAATTCGATCCTGAATTTTTCACAGCATAGGAAAACTACATATTATAAAAAATTGCTCTTTTTATATTTTTATATTTCATATTTTATGCAATTTCAAAATTATAACTGTAAAAGAATTACCCTTGAAACTCCATATAGATTAAAAACTATTTCAATACAAATAGTTAAAAAAATCTCCCGCAAGTAACAATTTACATCTTAAAGACTGTAAAAGCTTGCATTTTAGCTTAATTTACTTTCTTTCCCGAAAAGAAAGTGGGAATTATATATAAAACTGTAGAATATTTGAACATATCAATCGTTATCGCTCATGCATATGTTGATCTTATCTTCTATCATTCATTCCATAAAATATATTCAAAAATCTCAATTAGTTCTTATTTAATAGCTCATTTATTTATTTCAGGCGTAATAATGACACGCTAGAATTTAAAAAAAGTAAAACACAGAAAAAAGACGGAAAATAAAGAGAAAAAAAAGGTATTATGAAAAGATAAGAAAAATTTTTCGAGATTGCAGTGAAGATCACCAGGTCCAAATTATAAAAAAAATTTAAAAAAAAGAATACTTTTGATGACTATTTGTACTTACTTTTGTTCGGGATTTCTTTTTAAATATATTCTTCAAAATATAAAAATATACTTAAGCGAAATTTCTAAAATTAAGGAATAAAAGAATTTTCGTATTAAACTCACATTCTTTCAGAGAGGTAAAAAATAAGTTTTTACGAACGTAAAAGTAGTTAATTTCGAAAAACAAATTTTAAAAGCTTCATCATTTCCAAAGCATTAATTTTACAACAGTACGTGTTCATACAACATTATATATTCAGACAACATTATTTAAACACATAGTCAACTACTAAAAATTATTACTACAGAATGTCCTTTTTTTACTTAAAAATCCTTTACATCGTTTTCTTAAATATGAAAAAGGAAAATAATATTAGGTCATAAAATTTTAATTTAAGCACTTAGTTACTCTTACAGATGTAGGTATATAATAGCAAAAGAAAAAGGATTTGGTATTTGCTATTAATGCAGAAATATTAATAATTAGTTATCATACAATCAAACTATTATTAAATTTAACATAAATTAACATTATAACATAATATTCTTATCAGTTGCGGAGGGTTAATTGAAGTTATTAAGTTTTAAAGAGAATTAAAAATTTAAAACTTATAATTTAAAAGAAAAGAAGAATGAAACAAAAGACACTATATTCATCAAGAACTTTAAATCTTTAACGCATAGCATCGCTCATAGTTTTTATCAAAAGTTAAGATAAATGGTTACCCTTTTTAATAATAAAGTGTAATAGTAAATAATTGTAAATATTATTATATTAAAAAAAAACATTCTAATTTCGATTCTAAAATAATTAAATAAAATACTTCACAGGCAAGTATTACAAGGTTAAGATAACTATTTCGGAACTTTTTTATAATTAAAAGAAAGGTGAAAGAGCAAATTTATTACCAAATAATTTCGTCAGTTGCATATTTTTTATAAATAATGGCAAAAGTGTATTAGTAATTAAGTTAAAAATAAATATTTGTACGGTCGATACTCAAAATAAATCGAAAAAGAATATGTTAAAAGCAAAATAACTAACCTGTTCGCAGTTGGCAATACTCGTGGTTATCGTTTGTTTTTCCTCTAAACTTTCTTGTGCTGTTAAGGTAAAGGCTACATTTTTTCCTCTCCTGTTAAGAACATCACTTATTTCTTTATTTAATAGTTCGTGAGTGACAGGCAGTCGTTTCCTTAAAGTTTCGAAAACATTCGAAGCTTTCGTAACACCAGTACACTCATCAAGTGCTTCAAAACTTGTAACGGAAGTTTGGAAATCAGACGATTCGACGGAAATGGAGTCGTTATTAATTTTATGCGAAGAAATCGTTTGCAAAATATTATTCTCGTTTATAATGTTATTAATGTCATTATTAGCACTGTTATTACCTGGCTTTAATTTATTTATTGAAGAGTTAGTTTGTTTTACGAATTGCATTTCTTTTTGGACGGTTTTATTTATAGCTAAACAATTATTAGAATTTTGGTTTTTGGTATCATGATTGGTTTCATGAGAAAAAAACGTTTGAGAAACGTTATTCTCAATGTCGTTTTCCACATTGAGAATATTTGATTTCAAATAATTGCTTGTATCTTCCAAACATTGCTTTGTTTGCTTCAACCCTACTTTTTCGTTAAATTCATTTTCATCAAAATTGGAAATACTCATCTCAGAAAATGTTATATTACCATTACTTTCATTTAAAGTACTAGTTAAGGACAGGGGCCCACTAAGTTTATTACTAGTTGAAGTTTCCTCAGACATGAGGATATGTTTCAAAGAAACGTCGCTTTCTTGTGCCGAGCGTTGAAAAGCACTATCCTCCATGTCTATATTATTTTCTGTAGAATATTTTTCAGAGAGTGGAACATGAACTCCGGCGTTCGTAAAATCTGAACACGAAGATGTGTCCTTAGTTATAGTTTCGATATTCGCATCTGATACATTAAACTCTTTTACATTTTCTTCGAATTTGCATTTATAATTTTCAGTTTCTTTCAATGTGTCTTGTTTCACTGTGACTGAAGTGAAGCTGGTAATTTCTGAACCAATTATGTTCTCATTGTGATTCAAAATGTCATAAGTTTTTATAAGTTTACCCTGATCCTCAGCAGAGTTTATCTGATCTACCGAATTCAAAGACGTGTGTTTCAATTGCTCAAATGGCACTGTTTTTTCTTCTAAGCTCTGCATTTCCTTTGTCAAAGCAATTTTTTCACTTAACCCATTGCAAACACTTTCCGAAAACACACCGCCGGGTTGTAGGCATTTATCGCTAACAACAGATTCAATTTGTGGGTGGACGAGTTTTATGTCTTCAGGATTCTCTTCTGGAAACTTCGAATGCTTCATCTTATCAAGCCTACTTTTCAATTCATTAACTACAGGTTCAGTCTGAGAGTTGACAGGTCTTACGTTTTCAGAGTTTTCTTCTGAAATCTTCGAAGATTTCATTTTTCCAAGTTTACCTTTCAGTTCGCTAAGTACACCTCCAAAGCCAAAGGCGGGTGTACCTTTTTTCTCTTTAATATCAGATACTGGGATTTCCAATGCCTTGGTATTCGGAAAAGAATCGAGATTTTCCATGCTTTCCCAACTTTTAAGGCACTCTTTATTTTTAAAATTGGACAAAACTTCCTGTTTATCAGATTCAGTTGAATATATATTTAGAGAATTACCAGCACATGTTGATCGAGCTTCATCTAATCGAATTAGACCATTATCATTGCCAGTATGCAAAGATTGAGCATTACTTAAATAAGATTCTTCACTGGCTTCTGATGTAACAAACTCAGTAGCATAAAAATCAACATTTCCATTGTTTGAGCTCATTATGTTTCTGTAAGATACCGAGGCTACGCATTGTTTACCTTCTATAAAATCAACTTTAGGAGTACATTGGGGCAGAACATTTTCCTTAGACGTGTATTCAATTTTCATGGGTTCGCTGAAATCCAACTCTTCTACGTCATTTTCATCAAAAGCACCCACAGGAATAAGTCTGTTACCTGTCTCCTTATTATCACTAACTTCGAAGTTACTGAACTTTAGCTTATATCTTTCTAACCTACTTAATGTCTCAGTTGAATCTGGCTTATTTTGAATATTATTTAAGTTTTCTTTATCTGCACTTGAATCATCTTCAACTTTAATTCTCTTAGCCTTAAAAATTTCATTACCTCTAGGGTTTCGTTTCCCAGGTCGCTTCGGCCTCGTCTTCCTGACATCTGGTAAAACTTCAACTTCTTCGCGAATCAGGTCAAACTCTTGGACAGGAGAATTTTCAATGGTTTCGGGTAACTTAATCTCACTGAGCATTTTTATAGGGGTCGTCTGTCGAAATTTTTCGAGGTCAAAGGCTAGTCCAGCTTCTAATCCAGCTGGTAGTGTATGTCGTCTGCTATGTTTTGAATCTTCCCCCAAACGTTTTGCTGGTATTTCTCTCAGTGCAGCGGGGACAATAGCTCCCTCTTTGCTGTAAATAAATAAATAATCGCTGTCGTTTAGCTTTAACACGTCTTTTATACCACCTCTCACAATAAGCTCAACTTCTGACGGCACGATTACGTCACGCATAGACTCATCTTCTACCACTGACGACATATCATCTACTGTTTTGTCAGTAGATGCATTTAAAACAGGATATAAATACTTATGTCCTGACATGGCTCTGTATTTTGCTGTGATGCGACAGTGAAAATCATGTTCAGTTACCATACGAGTAGTACCATCGAGATCTAGGATTGGATAGACATATTTATAATCTTTAAAATGACCATGTTTTTCTGTTATCCGGCAACCAGATATCCGGTCAAATTTCGGATAATCATCAGAATTAGGAACGTAATGGTGTTCATCCATGGAGTGACTTTTGCCAGTTATGCGGCAAAAAGGAGTTGTACTTGATCGCGTGTATCGATAAATGGCGGCAAGTGTAGGGGTCCTCCTTCTGAATTTCGAATCCATAATAAAGAAATATAATTAAAAATTTATAAATAGTTTTCGCAGTAAGAAGATACAAGCTTCAAATTTCAAAATTAATTATTTGAGAATAATTATTTTTATGCAATTCATTTTCATTTAAAGTTTGTTTATGATTGAAAAAAAATTCAACTTAGCAATGCTATTAGCAATGGAAACTTAAGGAATCAATACAAATTAACTATATATAAAAGATTCTAAAACTAATAGAACATAATAGCGGAAATGTCATTTACTTTTCAGAAAATAATAATTTTCAATTACCGATATTAGGGCAAAAACTTCTCCCTTACTTTATTTATGTTGAGTAATTTTAATTCTGAAGCCAAAATAGTTAAATAATCTTTAAAATTGTATAATTAACAAGCTTTTATTATTACATAAGAAATATGGATATCAAAAACGTAAGAATTTATTTATTTACAAAATTCACGTTTGAATTTCAACGTGTGTCGACTTGTTAAATTGGATAACAAATTGTTGATAAATTAAATAAGTATATTTGTGTTGACTGAAAAAAAAAGTTAAATTTATTGATTATTACATTAAACTAATAAATGAAAGCAATATATATTCATGAATAAAAATTCGTGTTCTTTTTTAAATAAGTTTTAATAAAGTTTATAAGTATCTAGGGTAGTTTTTTTTCTGAAAGAAATAATTTATTTAAGACTATTGAGTAACTAACCAATTAAAAATAAACAAAGTAGGAACTACTTTTAAAATACTAACAAAGCTAACTAACAAATCTAACTAGCAATTTAAACTAAAATTAATAACTACATTGAAATTGTATTAATTCCTTAAATTTCAATTTTAAAATAAATAAACGTCAATAATTATTTAGGTACTTATCTTTGAATCACATTTCCAAAAACAGTCAGATTTCCATATTCCATAGATACTATAAATTTTTAAAGGTTTTGTATTTATCCAAAGTGTGCACAATAATGATGCATTTAAAATATAGTACAGGATTTTCTGAAACTGGTTTAATCTGATTTAATAGAATATATCGTAGAAGTTATGTTGTGAAGTCGGAACTTCGAGATCTCGAGCGGATAACATCTCCCAAGTGAGGAAACCTCAAACTTGAAATTGTCGGGATACGAGTAGAGGGTGACGTCACGTCACTCGGCTTCAGCTGGTGAGTAGCACCACTGAATAAGACAAATTAACTTGGCCGCCATTTTGAACCACGCACGCGCATTAAAATGTCATTCAAAATTGAGAGCTATTTCAAATTTTTTTTAATGACAATATAATGTGATAATGTAAATAAATGGATTATTTTCCGAACTCAAAATTAAGTGAGAATCATAAAGCCACTAAGGGAGAAAAGCTATTAAAAAAATATTGAAATACTCATTTTTTTAACATATAATTGTGAATGACGTATTTATTGTTGATATATGAATTCAAATATCCTTCACCCAGGGAGACAGGCAATTAAAAAAATATTGAAATACACATTTTTTAACATATAATTGTGAATGACGCATTTATTGCTCATAAATGAATTCAAAAATATCTTTCAAAAATTTAAAATATTATTTTCAAGAAAATTTTTTTTCTTCCTGAATATGCTTATAAAATTAAATACTCATGGCTAGGTAGAATATAAATGAAAATCAAGGGAAACGAATGACTTAGATCAATTTTTCACGAAACACTCGTCATCTGTTGCATTTTTAAAATTGTCAAATCAATAACGTGGAAAATCGGTTCTGCTCGGCAGTTATTACACAGTGAAGGGGTCGTACTGGAGAAAAACAGTCCCCATCCACGCGTATACAAGAAAAACAAAGAAAAGCACAATGAAGAAGACGACAGGAATACGAATTTTTTTCAACATAAAAAGTTGTAAATATTATTCTGAAATTTTCAGGGGGTGCAAACAAATACTTGTGACATTCGTTTACAATTTTTATTTTTATGAGTTCCATCGAAAGCTTGCTCTTGAATATTCTCAAACTTTAAAATTCGTTTTTCTCAGCATCAGCTTTCGTAGACATAAACCCTTCTTCAGACAAGAAATCAAATTTGCACTCACATTACATCATTAATGTATTAGTTTTTAAAGATTTCAGCAAATCAGAAGACAATTTAAAGAATTATTAAGTTAATCGTTTCATTATGTATCTTAAAGAGAAGTTTACAACATTAGTAAACATTTCCTATCTTTAGAGAAACCATAAACAAAATATGACCTGAGGAAAGTTGGATTTCAGAACAATGAGGGCAAGTCTATGAAAGAAGTAAAGGGTTTAACCCTTATAAAAGACGTAACTTTCGAGATGAGACTATGATATCAGTTTTAAAAAGCTTGTAAATTGTATTATATTTCTATTTGTAATTGTATTTTGTATTTGAATTTATAATATCACGTTTTTATCGTATTTGTATTAGTATTTGCATTGTATTTGCAATAATAATTGATAATGTACTTGTAATTGTATTTGTATTTTCAACTAGAAATGTATTTGCAATTGTAATTGTATAAATAATTGCATTTCAATTGTATTTTTAATAGCAGCTATTGTTTTTTACTTCGAACTGCAGTTATAGTATTTGTATTTTTAATTGTATTTGCAATTTTAACTGGATTTGTAATTTTAATTGTATTTGTAATTAAAACCATCGTTTTTTACTTTTAATCACAGTTATAGTATTTGTATTTCAATTGTTATTGTAAATCTATTTCTAATTGTGCTTGCAATTCTAATTGTAATTGTAATTTTAGTCCTATTTTTAATAGTTTTTGCAATTCAAATTATATATTTAGTTGTTTTTGCATTTCTAAATATAAATGTATTTGCATTTGCTATAGTATTTGTGATTATTAGTGTATTTGTAATTGTAATTGTATTGTATTGTGCTGTGTAGCACTTCGGTGCGTTGCATTGCACTGCATTGCACTGCACTGCACTGCACTGTATTGTATTGTATTGTATTGTATTGTATTCTATTCTATTCTATTCTATTCTATTCTATTCTATTCTATTCTATTCTATTGCGCTGTATTGCATTGCATTGTATTGTATTGTATTCTATTCTATTCCATTGTATTGTATTGTATTGTATTGTATTGTATTGTATTGTATTGCATTGCATTGCATTGCATTGCATTGCATTGCATTGTATTGTATTGTATTGTATTGTATTGTATTGNTATTATATTATATTATATTACATTACATTACATTACATTACATTACATTACATTACATTATATTATATTATATTATATTATATTATATTATACTGTACTGTACTGTATTGTACTAGTATATGTAGAGGGAAATCGAGAAATAAGTTTAGCAATCAAGATTGATGTGGACTTAAATGGTGGAATGAGATCAGGTTATCCCTGCCATCTCTTCAGCATCTCTAAAGGAGGGATAGGAAGAAGTAAAAAAAAACCTTCAGGTAAAGGGATGGGTGTGAAGAGATGGGTTGACTAAGCTGTTTGTTGGTGAAGATATTTTAACCTAGTGTGCCATTAAAATAGCAGGAAAATGTCCCTGACTTTGATAAATCGTTGTCATGACGTGGCCATCAACGACACTATTAATCTGATGAGTTACGTCAATTCGGTGGCTCTTATAGGTTGAATGAATAATTTCGGTTAGAACAAACCTAGAAAAGAACATTATTCTCGATTTTTGAAAAGAAAAAAGTTATTTTAAAGTGACGGTGCTTTCAACACTTTAACAATTTATTGGAAACGTATGTTCGGTATAATATAAAATAATACTTAACCTTTAAAAGTCATTAAACGGTTTCTCCTGGGTTTTTTTTCCCTTACTTTTGTATACTTTTTGACATTATGTTAAGAAGTTACACAACTTGTAAACGTTTTATTCACAGTCGCATAAAAGTATTTTTCAATAATTTTAAGTTATTCAGGAAAAGACAGCCTTTGGAAATTCCTGCCATTAATCTCAACCTCAAAACGGAAAAATGGAATTTTCCCAAGTCTCTATTTTTGGAATAGGTTAACACCTTCATAAAAACTAACGCACAGAGCTTGTTGAAATTTTGCACATTTCTTCTAGATAGAAATAACTAGTTCAGTTCACAACTTATTTACTTATTTTACAAGGTAGCACACAGCTTAAAATTCACCAAAAATCGTAGTGTTTTTACACACTGCTCTGCTAAGAAATCAAATTTCAACACTATAGAAAATGGATACTCAAATATCACTAAACTTATTTTTTTGCTTTTGACAAAATCATTTCCAGATATATGCTAAGCGAAAAAGTTTCGTCAAAGTAATGAAATACCTATCGTCCCTTTTTCGAGGAAACGAGTTTCGTCAAAATTAAAGAAATATTTCACCATAAAATATTTTACAAAATAAAAAAATCTTCGTAGAGGTTATTGTATCAAATTTTCGTGATAATCGCTTTATCGTGGGCAAGATAAAGTTTGTTTAAAGTAAGAACTCCCCTTGCCATTCGTCTGGTGACTATGGTAACAAGGTATAACTATTTCAAGTAGGGGTGTGGGGTCATTATTAGGACAGGTTTTGGCTGGGGTTGGCTAAGAAAGGGAATCTTTTTCTTCTGTCAATTATGTTAGCCCTAGAGTGAAGAGAAGCTTCCTCCCTGAAATGGGCTATTCTTGTTTCCGTAACAGCAGACGGCCTCAGACTTTGTGGCGGGGGGAGTTCTTACCGTAGACAAGCTATACAGGTAGATCAATGTCATCCCAACAGCACAAGAAGGACAGAGAGATCAAATACATCCATACCCAAAGCAGGTTCCGAGCCCGGTATCTTGCTGACACGAGGCCAACTCCTTGACCACCATTCAACCCGGTTGGATTGTTTCGTCCCTTTATTTTCGATCGTCTAGTTTTTATTCTAGTTTGCTCATTCTAGTTAACAATCACCCACAATGTACTACGATGAATTTGAGTTGAGGAAGCGTCATATACTTGAAGAGTTCACGTTTCGTCACAAATCACGTGGTTCGTGACGAAATGGTTTTCAAAATTAACGAAATACAGCTCAAGGATAACTGAATAGTCGAAAGTGAAGGGTTTTGATTTTCAGAGTGAATTTTATTTTAATTCACTTGTTAATGATGTCCAAATACAGTAAAACTTGCGTAAGTTGACCACTTGTGGTGCATTGTTTTAGTGGTCAACTTAGACAAGTGGGCAACTTATAGAGGCGGTGGGTCATTGTTTAATTTTCGCTTCCTATAACATGTTGATATATATTTTCAAAAAAATTTTTAATTGACTTAAAAATTTCATTTAGCAAATAGCCAAATGAATATCTTAAGAAACGTGTTTAAACCTGAATGAACTTTAATTTGGTACATAAAATTCTAATATTTAACTAACTTTTTTAAATAAATTATTTCGCAAGTTATGGATGTAAAGTGTTTATTAAAAATAATTTCTTAAAATATCAGAACTCGAAAACATGTAATTTGAAAACTTTAACAAAACAAAATTATTTGAACACTTTAAAATTTATTCTGTTATTACTTCGCTTACAAACCTATTTGTCACAAAAATATTCCCTCATTGTTG